CGAGCCATCTGCCGCTGGGGAGTCAGACCCACTCAGGGACAGGCAGTCAGCTGGGGGAGCCCGGTCTACTCCCTGCCAGGCCTACCCATGAGCTCCCCGCTAGCCCTGGGCATGGGAACCAGGATGGATACTTCACCCGCGCAAAGAGGGTGCCGGGGAAGAAGGCTCTCCAGGGGATGCAGAGACGGTTTCCAGGTGGACGCAGGCCAACCAGGGAGTGCTGAGGCCAACGGAGAGGCTACCCCAAGAGATGAACTCCTCACCTGATTCCACGGATGGAGGACGCCGGAAAGGTCCAGCTGGAGATCCCTCTCTAGGGGGAAAATAAACCCCATCAAACACGGCACGAGCAACCGGAGCCTGGGAACTCATCAGGCTAGGGGACAGCAAAGGGATGGACTTGCTTCCGGGGCTCCGTGCTGCCCTACCTCCTCCACGGGGCAGGCATGGCACAGCGTCACCGACTTTTCAGCCTGGCCGTGGCACACGATCAGCTGGGCGGGCTGCAGGACTTTGGTCAGCTCCAGAATCAGCACCTGGAAGGGAGGCGGAGAGAGAGGCTGAAGGATAGACCCCCTGGGCTTGCTGAGAGAGTTATGGGAGGGGTAGACCTCCCTGGACGCAGCATCAGGGGTGGAAGATGTCCTAGCTTTCTGGGAAAGGCTCGCTGAGCTCATGGGCCCATCCAGAGAGACCTGGGCCAGAGCTCAAGGGCAGTGGAAGGGCTGGTATGGCCAGAGAGAATGGACCCCCGCCGGACCCCCCAAATCTGTGCCACAACCGGACAGGGGGGAGCCGGCTCCTGCAGGACACTCCCCGATGCCTCAGCCCAGCCTGCCCCCTGCCCCAGCTGTTTACCAGGGGCTGCACTGGATCTAGACCACTGGTGACACAGGGAGGCACCTTGGTGCAAGCATAAGGCAGTTACACAATGGGGGGAAGGGAAGCCCAGGGCATCTTCCCCCCACAGCCCGTCCCATGCCTGGCAGACCAGGGAGCCGCTAGGCCAGAGGTGCCTGCGATCCCAGCTACCTACGACAGGGGCCCGGGCTGGGTGATTCAAAGGAAGGGTGGGGGAGAAGCCTGTGATGCTCTGGGAGGACAGGGACGTGGGATCTCATCTCCCCCCCAGCTGGTGCGGGGTCTCTGCCCCCTTCCATTGCACCCCCAAAGGACTGAGGGTGGGCGACCCCATGGCAGGGCTGGGGGCGAGGGCCCCTATCAGTGTCGACAGTCGCACGAGGATCCTGCTTCCTCCCCAGGAGCCCCCCGTATCCCTCCCAGATAAACCCCCTTTGCCCTCAGCCCTGGGGCACGTTTGAACCTGCCAAGGGCCGGCCCCAGGCTCTGCCCTCCCCCACTGCCAGGAGCCCACTTCATCCCCCGCCTCAGCAGCACTGGGGATCGAAACCCTGCCCACCTGTCTGGTCTGTTACCATGGTGACAGGGCAGTGGTACCTGGACTCTTCCTCAGGTGTGGCCCAAGCCCCTCCCCATCCCAACTATCAGAGAAAGGCAGCAAGGGGGGGGAGGGGCAGGAGCCGGTGCTGTGGGGGGGGCGCTTTAAAAC